AACAACATCCAGCTACATCCATCCATCTCTCTCTCTTCCAAATCTACACACACACACACACACACACACACACACACACACACACACACACACACACACACACACACACACTACCTCTAACCCATCTTATTTGTATTTCTCATGTTCACTCTCCCTTTCTTGTTTTGATTTTTTTCCATCTTTCCATCCGTTGTTGCTCTCCAAGGCCCTGGTGCGAAATCCATCATGTGTTAAACACCATGTTATAAAGAAAAGTGATGAGTCACCACACGGTCCTCTTAGTTTAGGTCAGCACAACGATGTTCTCAGAGATGGTCGTGACTCCATCTGTGTCATTATGTCATTTCCAGCAATTACTCTGTGACATCATCTCAACCCCTGAAAAAGGTCAGGGTGAAAACATGTAGGATGGAGCGTGTACTGTAAATATAAATAAACACCTTCATCATCACAGCTACCTTCGTAAACACTCGCTGTTGTTTCCCTGTAGGTGAGAACCTACTTTAATGCATTTTTTAAAAAGGTATTATGCATTGCATTTAAATAAAGATCTAATTTTTGACCTAGCGGATGTGGTGATTTAATGCGATGCTGAGCAAGGCTTTGTAGATGTGACAAGAGATAGCAGATAATTAGTTATCCGCAAGTTAATAAAGCACTCAGGGCAGCAGTGATGGATAGACAGTCCTTTAACAAACTGTGATTCCCCGACCAATTTCCATGGTGGCGAGTGCAGTATTGACAATCTGTCTTTAAGTGTTAGGTCTCTGCTGATGTGTAGGCAGAAGCCTTTGTGCAGCTTGTGTGTGTGAGTGTACTGTTCCTGCATTCGTCTGCCCAACTGTCTGTGTGGTATTACAGTGCAGATTTCCGCCGCTGCTTACACTCATGTGGCTGTCAGACAGAAATAGTCATCAAGGTAAATAGTTTGTGGTGTGTTGGTGCTTACAGGAAGCCCGCAGCCACCTTTGGAAGTCTCCCCAGAACCCCCAGTCCAGTTTGTTTTGTGTGCGTTTGATTAATAAAAGGTTAACTCAACCCTCAGTCAACTGTTAAGAGAGGCATGTAAATCTCCCCCGCAATCTCTTCCTTCCTCTGCCTTTCACTCCTCCCTTTGTCTCTTCCTTTGCCACACCTTCCCCTGGGGGATGCAGGGATTGTGATTGGAGAAGAGGTGGGGCTCCTGGCACAAGCACAGGTGTGCTCGTTTCCTCCCTTCTCCTCTCTCTCATGTAATGATTTCTTCAGCTCGCCACCTGCCAGGTGGAAAAAACACCCACAGCAAATGGAGCGCTTTAAAATGGCCTCCTGGCTTCCGCCTTAAAGGATTTTCTTTTTTTCTTTCTTTTTTTTTTCTTATTGCTTGTACAAACACTCCATTTTCATCCCTTTTCATTATCCATTGACTACGTTTAACTCAATGAAGTCTTCCTGGAACTACTTGTTTACATTTTGCGTCACATTCAAATGACGGCTCCTGGCTCTGAAAAACTGTCCACCAAGGCTCCCCCACTAGCTTTTCAGATGATCAGAACCTGGCTCTCTAGCACCATTCTCTCGACGCCACTTCTCGCCTCGCCCTTTGGAGCTGCCTGGAGGGTGGCGTAGAGCAGGTCCCAGGCCCCGAGAGGTCAAAGTTCACTCACCAACAATGGAATCTTACTCTGGGTCAGATGCAGTCAAGGAAACAAAGGCCAAGGATTGGACAAACTTCTGTGACAAGGAGACAGAGGGATGAAGATGCATAGAGCAAAAGCCAAAATGAGACGTGGAATGAATGCACTGAAAACCTTTCTCATACACTTACCCAGGCACATACACTCACACACATAACTGTGCAAATTTTGCTTTCACACACACTAAAATCTGCCAAAGCTGTTGCTTAAGCCCATAAAACAACTTAGTCAAAGTTTCTCAGGCTACAAAAATCTGTTTCCCAACAGTTCTCTCATTGTATTTCTTGTCTTTAAATAATAATCGCTTAGAGAAACAGCACGCTTCAATATCACAACAGTTCAGGTAAAACCAGAACTTTTTTCTCTTTAACCTCTCTATATCTTTTCATGTTGCTCCAACTTGTTCCTTCCCCTCCCCCACGCTGCTGTCTTTCTCCTCTCTCTCTCTTTTTTTTATTCACTGCCATTGATCATGCATGCAGAAATTCAGTACACCCAACCACGGCTCCAGCCAGGATAGGTTAGCTAGTGCAAGGCCCTGTCCTACATACTGTTCCCTCGCTATGGTCCGCCAGGCCAGTCACACCCTCCCCCTGACCTGCCTCTCCTCACTGACTA